CAAAAAAATCCCTCGAAAACTCCCAAAATCGAACAGAAAAATTAGAAAAATAAATCCCCAACGAATGTAGATATTTAAAATTCTCAGAATTCCAGGAATTCTGAAGTAATTCCCTGAAAATTCAGAAGAATCTGGAATTTAAGGCGAGATATCTCTAAATTTTCCTGCTTTCCCATTAATTTTCCGCGAATAATTAAACTAAAAGTTACACGAATTTTGAAATGACACGTTACTCACGACAAATTTCTTATGAAGGTTCAAATTTCTTATGAGGAAACCCGTTATTATTCTATCCAACAGGATTTCCTCATTCGCTCTCCTCCGCCCTTTCAAAAAAATCCCTGCAAACTCCCTGAGCCGACAAAAAAAATGAGAAGATTGAATCAGCAACGACCAGGAAAATCCCGCAACGTCCCCTTTCCATCGAGAATGTAAACTAGATTACCTCCTCGTGAGAATGGTTACAATGTCACCGTGGGTGACTCCCTGATGCGATTTTGAAGTAGGAAGTTTGGGTATAGAGGGTTTCCCCGTACAGTATTCCACCTGACCGTACGTTTCTCGATGTTACTCTGTACACAGTGGCATTTCCTCTCCTCCCCCCTCTGTGCACACACTCGAAGCCCTCAGACATTTCGGCCGTTGCTAATTAGTGGCCTGTTTGCCCCTCTCTGCAAGTTAGTGCCAACACTCGTCGTCAGGGAGTTACGCCTCTGCCAGTGGGTGGGCGGTCGGGGGAGAAATGCTATCCGATTGAGGGTGGGAAAGGCTTTTCGGACGGTGTAGGTCACTCTGTACGCTCACTAAGCCAATGACGAAGACTCACTGGTCGAATGTGTTAACTCAGTTACGTGGGCGAGGGACGAGAGGGTGATACATTTTTACTCCACTCGAATTACTGGATCAAATTGTATTCAATTAGGTGGATTAAGGGTCGAGTTACGTGCGTGTCTGTTATTAGGGAGGGATCAACTTTCCACGGGATGCTTCGGCTTTTCGGTGGCATTAATTTTTTATTGAGCCATTTCACTCTATTCTAGGATATTAGGGCCTCGGTTATAACTGGAAATTAAGGAATTATGGGGGACATTAAACGAATGCTTCTGAAGACGACTGAATAATTGATACGGTATCGATTGGTCGAGGAAAAAAAGTCTGTAGTTTTCGGTGGAATTTTGTTTTTATTCCATTTTCACTTATTTTGAAAGGAAATTCTTTAGGGATTCGTTATTAATTATTGAATGAATTTAATTTTTATTAATGTCGACGGACAGGGCTCATCAATACCTCCAGTCGAGAAAAACAGATGATTTAATTCCCTCCAAAAATCTGGAACAGGAATTTGAACGATTCCAAAGCTTCCATTTGAAAAAAACCGAAAAAAGAAACTCCTGACAAAAGTCCCGAAGCTCTCAAGATTCTATCACTCATCCTCACCATTTTTCAATGAGATCACCTCCCCCCAACTCCCCCCGAAACTTGTACACACGTCTACACCCACTCCCGTTGGTTTTTACTAGCTCACTCATCGAAAAAAGGAAAAAACCCGGTAAAAACGAGAAGCCTGAATCGAATGATATATTAATCACGTTGGCGTTGTACCATTACGGTGCCCCGAGGCGAAGGAGGCAACGTATGGGAGCTAAAATTCTCCCGAGATTATTTTTCCACAAAAAACTAGTGAGATGAAACGTGGGGAGAGGGAAAAAATGAATAAAGCGCAAAAGGCCTGGAGTTTCCGGGGGTATGCGTCGCTCATCCATCATCCATTTGGGGCCGAATGGGCGGAGAGTCTGACCTATGTCCCTCAAAACCGTGGGTTACCCACTCCTCTCTGCCCTCTGCCCCGTTCACCGTAACGATACACAATCTTATCGTGGAATTAAATAGAAAAAAGGGCATTCCCTGGCTTCGCAATCAGTTAAATTCCGTTTAGTGGTTTTAAATCACTCTTTCACGTGTGAAATTTGAAATAACTCTTCGATATCTGTTTCTATATCTTGAGGATATTATTTTAGGTGTTGAAGAGGATGAGAGGGGAAGAATTCAATTTTTTTAATGGATTTGAAATTTATAAAAAATGATTGTTAAGTGACAGTTTTACTGATATTTCAAGGAATTTCGTCATTAGAAATTCATAATTTGATAGAAAAATTAATGAAAATTGTACATTTTAGTTTAATTATTCCATGAAAATTAAGAAAAATGTTTTGTGGATGGAAGAGAAATTATGTTTGAAAAATAAAAAAAAGGAATAATTTTTTCTTGGAATAAATTCATTTGTCAAGTGACAGTTTGATTGATATTTCATGGAATTTCGTCATTAAAAATTCACAATTTGATGCAAAAATCAATGGAAATTGTACGTTTCAGTCTAATTACTCCCTGAAAATTAAGAAAATGTGAGAAGGGCATAGTTAAGAAGGGAATAATTGTTTCTCGCAAAATCATCAACTTCATATAATTCTCCTCCCATTTCCATTACTTTCTCAAACACAAATAAAAATCAGGAAAATTCAGGTCAACGAAAAATAAAAATTTCCACAGCACAACATTTTCCTATTTTCCCTACCAAAACCGCTCATCGTCGGAATTATCGGACAGTTCTCATTTGATTGAGTGATTCTCATTACTCATAGCTGAATTCCCCGATCGTGGGTACCGATAATAAAAAAATTTTATTCAAATCGTTTACTCCCTCGGTAGATCCCAATCTCCAGTTTCTTAATGACCAAACAAGCAATACATCATTTTTAATCCCCTCGCCGTCCCCAAAAGTTGAAAAACCTCTCTATTCACTCCTGTATTCCCAAAGTATTATTACCAGTTTCACGAAGGGTGAAAGACCAGAGTAATTTATTCAGAATGAATTAATTACGTACTTCACAGTCCAAACATTTCCTGAATTAG